CCCAAGGCTACCCCTAGGTAAATGGAACTCCATTTGAAGTTTTGGGGTTTTGAGGTCATTTGGCTTCCTGGATATCTCCTATGTACACCTGAAGGGCAACACAGACCTTGGGCCCGGTGGTTCAAACAGCTTCATTTCAAATGATCAATGTCCTTGCTGGGTGGTGGCTTCAAATTTCCTCTGTAAAGCAAGGATCATTGTGAAGGTAGAGAGAAGTGGCATGCTTGCCAACCAGTTCCTTAGGAATAACTGCTGTTACTTCCAGAACTTTTCACTTCCAGACTTAAGGACACATTTGACCCAACTAGGGTAGACTGGAAATCATTTTGCAGTGCATGCCTCCTCACTGCCCATGGTGCTTGCAGTCCAGTGGCAGCACATGGACTAGTGAGGAGGAATGAGAAGTCAAGCGCCTGTATTAGGCCAACACTTCCTTCTTACAGGTTCCACGACATGGTTGCCCTTCCCTCATTTTAGATGGACAGCATAGGTTTTTTGTTTTGTTTTTTCTATGAAGACATTGGGATCCAGTGGGTAGAGTCTGACAGTCTTAGAAATAAAAGGGAAAACCCCAAAAGGGATTATTTAGGAGGAACAAAAGGCTCAATATAATTTTCCCTCATGCTGCCTTATATCATCTGTCTTTTTATAAAGGGAGTGGAGGAAGTGGCGCTGTGGCTCAAGTGGTAGAGCGCTAGTCTTGAGCTGAAGAGCTCAGGGACGGTGCCTAGGCCCAGAGTTCAAGACCCACGACCAAAGGAACCCCCTCCCCCCCTGCCAAAAACAAAACAAAACAAAACCTGGAAAAGGGAGTGGAGGCAATGGGTGGTGTTGGCTTGGGCTTTGTTACTAAATTTTCTGTGGACATGCCCAGGATAGGCCTGAAGTAGCCCCAGGGGCCTCTCTGGTTGATGGTGCCCAGCCTTGTCCCTGCTGTGGTTCAAGGTGGACCCTGCTGACAGTCTGTGGTCTGCATCCCCTTCCACAGTGGCTTTCTGGACAATGCATAGGCACCTGGCCTCTTGCTTCCTGATGATGCCACTCCAAAGTGCAGATGGACATTCATTTCCTCACCATCTGCTCATCTCCCTCAGCAAATGTTTTGGCCAAAAGACACGGCAAGAGACTAAAGCCCACAAGCATCCTCAGCGTTTACATGGAGTGGCTGCGGGCGCAACCAGGTCCCACCATGACTCTGGACACATTAGCCACACACCAGGGATAGACACAGAGGCCACCTAGTGCTCTCTCTCTGTAGGTCTGTGGATGCTGTCCCCTGGACACACAGCATGTCTTTTGGGCAGTGAAGGGCACTGCTGCATGTGTTATATGGCCGAGCTGCTGACATATGGGAAAAGTGCCAGGTATTTATCTTCACATTAATGTAGTGAGAATACTGAAATGAGTTCTGATCTCCTAGACATGAAAAAGTTCAACTCAGCCTAGGTTTTGGCTTAGGGTTTTTATGGGATTTAAAGTGCAACCTCTAGATTCTTGTGAAGCCTAGTAATTCTTAGCCAAGGATACCATGAACTCTGCACTAAAACTTTCCACAAATGCTAGCTTCTGATGACTTCAGATATTTCAGACTGGCAGAAACGAAATGGAAAACTCCAATCTGAGCTGACTCCAAATATGCCAGAGACATAGGCTCAGATACCATGACTGCTGTTTTGCCTACAGATGGGCAAGCAGGAAACAGCAAACTCACCCTGAACTAGGGGGAATTTCCTGAGGTCAAACACCTTTCTTGGATGTGTGAAATATCTCGCCTTCTCTAGTTGTACAGACGGCAGATTTAATTACTGAAGTTAGTTATGTGAAAACAGCTACCCAACTGCCAAGTTCACCCAGATTGTGATAAAGGACAGCACTGGACTGGCCCTTTCACCTCTCCTGACCCACGATTCATCCAAGACTCACAGGAACATGAGATGGTATGTGAGGCCTAAGAAACATTTCCTTCCCAGAGTCAGAAGCTATGGTCACAGAACAGGGACTGTCTCCTGATCACTAAATCTAGGAAAGCAGCATCTAAAAGAATGAAATTATAAAGTTAAAAGCTGAAGAATGAAAGGTACCAGAAGGCAGGTAGAGATTATTAATAAGTTGATGAAATGGCTCTTTTTCCAAAAGCCCAAGGAATTCCGGATGGACCAGAGTGTGGCCTGGCACATCTGATCTTATACCTTCTCTTACTGTTGGATAGAGGACAAGTACCAAACTGGATGTGGAAAAAATTCAGCTTCCTGCGGCTAAACACATGGCCTCAATATTCCAACATGCCCACTCAATGTCTCAATTCTATAGTTCTTTAAGCCTGGGGTTTGAGTTGCGACTAGAAAAAAAAAAAAAGAAAGAAACCTAAAATACTTCTAAAACAATGCAGCATGGACACTCTGGATTTCTCAACAAAGTTGTATTTAGTTTTGTAGATATTTGGGAATATTTTTAACTTTTAGGGGAAACACAGATGTGTCTCTTACATCCTGCCTGTTTTTCCAAGGGCATAAACAGCACATGTTGACAGAGCTCCAGGGCAACAAAGCCCTGTAACCCTACCCAGACAACTGAAACCAGGCAGAGAGGGCACCTGGCATCCCATGCTTGGTAAAGCAATCGTGACATCAAAGTCACGGTCATAAGTGTCCAAAGAAAGCATGGACAAATTCAGTAAGACAAAGTAGTAAATGCATGCTACAATCACAGAATCTCAAATCCAGTACTCAGAGGCAAGGACAAGGTAAAAGCTGACAGATGTGCACACATAAATTGCTGTTTTCTTCTAAAAGACCCAATTCAGTTTTAAGCCCATGCCTGGGCCTCATGTCACAGTGCCTCAGGTACACCAAGCAGACACTGGACACATACCCTGCACACTTGCCGTGTTCTGCTGTCACTTCTATGATGGTTTTCCAATATTGAAATTGGCTACACTCCGGAAAGGAAAATGCCAAACACAGGAAGGGAAAAAAAGACAAGGAACAATTCAATTTAATCCTTGCTTTCTCAAAGAGCAAGGAGCCATTTGGAGCAGGTGGGATATTTAACTGCCCTCCTTCGATTCTGTTCTCAAGCACCCTGTTGTTCACTGGGGTGGAGGCCTGCTCTAAGCATGACACCCAGTTGCCTCTGCACTTCCCCTTGAGGACATCCAACAAGTCCTCAGAATAAAGAATGCACTTTACTGTCACACTCTGCCCTCAAGGGCTCTAAAACTGGGGACACATGCTTTCCATTGAGAAAATTGTTCTTACCAAAATAGCCAAATAATTGTTACAGGATAATTAAGCTCTGTAATAATTGTTGATGACTGTCAGTTATGCATAGGGAAGTTTGATTTTTCAAAGCCTAACCCAGGAGAAACAAGATGTTCATAAAATTGCTTTAAGTAGTTAGAATGAACAAACTTGAAGCAGAAGCCTCAAAGGAAGAATCTCAGAGGGAAACTATGTTCCATTAGCCTGAATCAGTATATCTTAACAAGCTCAGAGTGCAGGAGCAAGTTCTGTCAAGAGGGCTACACCATGAGGGTGGTAGGAGGCCTTAAGCAATCCTTCAGGTATGACATCTTTTGAAATCCACTTGATAAGCAAGTAGGCACATAATATGACAACAAGCCAACAGAAACCTGAGCACATTATTACCATAGGCAGAGTGAACAAAGAACCATTTCTGGTTCTGTAGAACTCCAGTCATAGAGGTATACATGTCCCTCTGTGCACTCAGGTGCTGACCAGGCACCTCTGGCCATCACTGACCCTTTCTCAGACAGGTACTGCTGTGGTACTGCTCAAGTCAGCCTAGCAGCAAGCTCTTAATACCAACCTGTAGCTTGCAATGAGGGCATGCAAATAGTTATGGAAGCTTCCTTTTGAGACTCTGAAGTAAAGAGTGGGGCCTCCTGTCAGAAAATAATCCACAGCAAACAGAACTGCATTCCTAGCCCCATGGCAAGTACCTTCCAGAAGGGCTGCTTAAATAAATTGGAAAAAATGATTCCACAAAAACAAATTTCAAAAAAATGATTGCAATTTCAGAAAAATCAGGAGAAGTTACTCACTTTTCCTGCCTCCCTTGCTCAAACACCTTCTCTACCTTTTTGTCCATTTTATGATCATTATCTCTTATGGTGGTTTGGTTTATGTGTTAAACTCTGAACATGTGAACCTAGTAGAAAGAACATGAAAAGCAGCTTACTATGTTTAATACAGCTTCCTTCTTTTCTTCAAATACCTCTCTGCCCAAACTATGAAGAAGTTTAAAAATCCTAGGATTTGTTTCTAAGGTCACAGAAACAAGACAGCCATAGCTCCATTTCACTCCAAGCATAAAGGATACATAAAGGATACAGTCCTTCATTTATAAGTAAGAGTAGAGGTATATTCTATGACCAAAAATAAATACAAGATAATGCCTTAAGTCATAATCTTATTATTTCTTCTCCTGGGAAGAAATAAGTCTCAATATAAGCATTTTTCTTTTGTTGACATCCAAATACAATTGTCTTAAGGTACTTCAAAAGGTTGCTTTTGGGGAAAAGTTGACTGGAATGTATATACTGTAAACATAGGAAAACTTAATAAATTCCCCTCTGTATAACTAATGTAAGCTAATAAGTAAATAAATAAAAGGTTAGTTTTGCTCTTGTTCTTCAAAACACTAAATCTCTTCAGCTAATCTTGTCTCTGCCATCCCCTTCTCCTGCTGCACTGCAGAGACACACTTCACATGTGCTGCTCAGCCTCCCACCCTCTTGGCTCACAGAGGCATAAGGCCTGCAAATGAAACAAGGTTCGTTATATAGAGCAAACAATAAACATTATAGACTTCCAATGCTCTTTAACTTGTCCCCCTGCTATCACTAATACTCTAAAGTCAACCAATTACCCATCTCTCTTTAAGCTGATTGTAACTTACCTTCAGGACCAGGTTAGTAACACATTGGCAAGAGCATTGTCACATATTTCCCAGGGCCAAATAATGACAACACAAGCTCCCAAATCTTCATATGATTTTTTTTTTTTTTTTTTTACTGTTTTTGAGGTACACACAAGCAGCATTTTATTTTCTGTAACTGGGTAAACACAACCCAATTATAAAACTGGTGACAAAATTCACATGGACTGAACAAAAGAGAAGAAAAAGCAAATCTTAGTCTCAGAAGTATTAGTAACTTCAAAGAGCTCCCAATTCATCTGATAGACAATATGTCCTATGCAATGGTAAAGGAAAGTAATTGGTTTAGGAAAAAGAATCCTGATTTAAGAAAGAATTCAGATTTAAACACAGACTATCTCAACTAGTTAAAAAAAAGTTATTTGTTAATACTTCAGGGCTTAGTATCTGAATAAGCATGCTAAAATGTGTTACCTGTGTTTAGATTTGAAATGTGCCTTCAATGTGAAGCAGTGCATGGGACTCTACATTGAGATAAATCATGCCCCAACGAAGACCAGACACACAGATTCTTCCATCACAACCACCCCAGAGATAAAGATTCCAGTCATATTCACTTAAAAAGTGTCTGACTACAGTGACTATTCAATGTAAAAACACTGTTTTCCCTTGGAACTATTCTCTGAATATGGCCAAACTAAGCTGTTGATAGAAAGGCCTGCCAAGGAACAGGAAGCAGGCAGAGCATCTGTGTAGCAAGGCCTCTGCCATTCTCTTGTAGCAGCCAAATCAACACAATAACCACTAAAGAGAGGTAACCACCTCCTCCCATGTCAACCCAAAGGTTAGAAAGAGAGGAAGGGCTGCTAAAGAAACACCCATGATGTCCTCCATGATCATAGTCACTTGCCAATCTCACAACAACTGATTCATTCCTAGCAGATAATTATCAAGTAGAACATTCAGCAAGATTTCCTTTCAATATAATATAAAAAGCAGCAGCCATAATTGTAAGATGTACTCCATACTGACATCAAAATTATCAGTGAGACAAAGACTCTGGGAAGTGGCCTGGCATGCCAAGGAGGTCCATACTCCTCAGGGACAGCACTGGCGCCATCCATACACTTCAAAACCTCTACTGGCTTCAGTCACTGTTAAAAATACTTGATTTCTCATTTCAACCATAATCAACTTTATAAAAACCTTCACATTTCACCTAAGAGATTAGCTAAAGAGAACACAAATGAGTTACAAGAGTATGTGGTGTTCTTGTACTCACCACCACAAGCTTAAAAGGTACCAATGGCTGCATATTTTCTGTGGAAATTGTGATTCTGACAAGCTTTAGATAAAAATTATTTTTGAGTGTTCAATTTCATTTATATATAACCAGTACATATTATTTACATATATATGGTTGAATTTTTATCCAACTTTCTTCATTAAGGTCTCTATTTGAACTGATAGGTTACTGTTAGATACTTTGTCAATGAAAGAACTAAACACTTGGATGGTCGGTCCAAGTCTGATTCCACCCAGAGAACTGAATATAGTTACAATCTTCATTAATAGCTTAGAGATTGAGATCTGGTATTAGCATCCTGTCTTGTCTTCAGGACACAATTATTCCAAGAGCTGACTTAGTCTGCATATGCTACAGCCAGAATACAGAAAACAAATTTGATTTTGAAGACCTGGGGGAAAAACCCTGACATTGAAGATATTAGCCACTGCTTATTGTTACCACTAATGTCAAATTCTTACACTGGGCTTTCTTCTTAAAAAACAAAAACCACAATTTTTCTAGTGATTTAACTTTAAAAAGGTTATCTTAAATTTCTTTAACCCCTAGAGAACTGATATATGAGTCAACTATCCAAAAAAAAAAAATAATGAGAATATGTCTTTGTCCAAAGACTCTAGAGGGTTAAAGTGCAGGAATTTTCTATAGCTTGCTAAATAGGGCACACTGTTATGCCTTTTTTTTAAAAGAAACTTTTTCTTTGGTTTCTTGTAATTTCTCAGTGAGTCTATCCTTTGTCTCTTCCATTTTCTCCGTGATGAGTTCCTTAGTCTCTTCCATCCTGTCCTGCAAATACTCCTTGACAGGTGGTGGAGTCGACATATAGCCACGGCTGCGCAAATACTTCACAGTAAAGGACGTTCCTCCCAAGGTCACGGTGTAACGGGCAGGTGTTGCAATCTTAATAAGCAAGCAGGCAGATGAACAAGGAAAACTGAGTTGAAATTTAAATTCTTGTTTCACATCAGTACATATTACTTTACTGTTTGACAAGGCTACTGCGGTAACACTACTTTTACTTCCTCTTCAAAGTCATGTGTCATGAGGTTCTGTTCTCAAACAATGTGACCCAAAATCTCAGAATTTTCATGGCTGACACCACTGAGGTCCTTAGCTACCTGCTAGCTAGTGAGCCTGCTATTTGGACATCAGAAAGAGGATAAAGTACCATTAATATTAATACAGATGCACTTGTTTCTATGTCTGGAAAACTATCTGGGGCTAAGCGCTAGTAGAGCTAAAGTTTTTCAAATCTAACAAGAGCCAAATATTTCTTTGCATGACTCAAGTTTGCTCTACTACTGAACTATTTTCCTTTGAATCTTCCAAACTATGTCCTTCCTTCTTGTCACAACCTATCTGGGGTCTAGGACCTCAGTCAGCAGCATCTGTAAGGCCACAGTGTAAAAAACAATGCACTCGACAGGTAGGTCCGTGGTAGCCTGGCCAGAGATAAAAGTACTAAAATCCAACAAGAGATGAAGTGGTCAAAAGAAATTGTGAAAGGAGAGAGTTGCTGTTTGTAGACTGCTATAGGCATGCTGTGTACCCTCAAAGTGAAGGAGCTTCTATGTGTACCCACCTAATATTCTATCTTCCTCTTAACACACCTCATTTTGGGGGTACCTTGAGGAAAAAAAGTATCTGTTTGCTGTTCTACTTGAGGAACTGCCTAATTCCTAACCCAAAGAGGGCTGTGAGCGGGTAGAAATGCTGCTCATCCATTAACTTCAGCACAGCTTCCCAAAGGTACACTGAACCCTGTCTCACCTACATCACACCATAGCAGGCTGACTGAAAGTACCAAGAGAAAGAAGATAGAATCCTGAATTCCTGGGAGCCTAGTATCAAAGTGATTAATTAAACCTTAGTATCATACTTGCTGAGAAAAGATAGGAACTATTATAAACTGTTAAATAATGCTAAATTTCATTAACAAGTAAGGCATTATGGAGATCTGATTAAGAGAAAAATATAAGTGAAGGATCAATCAAGTAAAATGTCAAAAATATGACTACAACCTTAGAAATACACAAATCTATATACAAGTCTAACAGTGTTTCTGACCAATTATGATCTATTTCAAAGGCACTTCTTAAAAAAATCATCATTTGAACTTCAAAATTTTATAACCTTATTTTAGTCATTGGACATATAAAAGATGAACTATAATGGTTTACATATAAAAAACTACCAAGAGCTAACAAGGATGTCTGGGGGTTATAAGTAATTGGTTAAGTATGAGGGAAGGTATCTAGCAGTGGCACCCACCTTAAACATGGCATATGCTGTCAGGGCATTTCCACTCTGGGAGTTTTTCAGAATGTTTACTACACTGTCAGGTAACCCAATGAGTTCCAGGAAAGGGATGACATTCACACCTCTGTGAAAGAAACACAAAGTCACATATAAACACATTTTTAAGGGTATTTTCAATAGTATATCTGAAAACACTCAGATCAAAAATTTTCACTTGTAAATTGTTATTCGCTCAGTAGGGTCAGGAAAAAAATGAGGCTAGCTTGTGCTACAAAGTAAGGCCCTGTCTCAGAAAATAAGCAAAAAAGAAAATACACAAAAATGCGTTGATACTGAGTCATCAAGTACTTGAATTTAATTAGCACTTTCCTAGAAGGACAATACACAATTGGTGTCACTGTCACACTCCACCTCACCATCTGCATGTGAGCATCCTACTTCATGTATTTAGAAAGCAGAAGCATTCACCAGGCAAACTAAGAGATTTGGGTAATCTAAGAGAGAAGGCTCAGAATTACTTACCTGCTCTTTGTTTGTTCATCCAAACTACTTTAAGATGATCCAATTCACATTTCAGGAACTACAACTTTTACTTTTAAACTGCATATTATTAAGCTATGCCATTGCATAAACAATGTATTTTTTAATTTTAGCTTTTACATCAACTTTATTCTCAGAGCCAACAACCTATGTGAGTTAATGAACACCCACATTGTCAACTTTTGTAGGAATCATATTCATTCTTACATTTACCAAAATCTCATACTCAACAATGAATTCTGTGTTGCAAAAGAGGGATTTACTGTTTGCACCTGTCTGTAAGGCTTTGTTACAAATTAAACAAAGACACACACACACACACAAGCACTAAAACAAGGCATATTTTATCATTAATACTGGCTATTAGGCAAAGGATAAGTGAATTTGTTAGTTTGACAAAATTTTTAAAAGGACATTTCAATTCTCTAATCAGACTTAAAAGACAATTAAAGAACAAATACTAGAAACTGCAACAGATTCTTGAAGGAAGGGAGGGAAGGCAGTGAGTTTCCAAGCTGAATGGGAAACCTGGGACTTTGGTATTTTTAGATTCTGTATTATCAACACTTTACCACACATGCCCTTGGCTCTCCCACTTGTTCATTGTGTGGGTTTTGCAATACTACAATCCTGTACTCCTAAATCAAAACCAGAACATTCACTTACATAACTATTTAACATGTATAATAGTATGGTGTATGTAATACAAACTTTGTATTAAATGTTCCTAAACTGCCCTAATACCTTTCTTACTGCTTTGTTTATCTCTCACTAGTCTCCTCCCTGGAAGTGCTTCCTGTACCTCTTGTTAGAAGTAAAGCAGTATGTCTTTCTTCACAAGGTTATTTTGAGGGATCTAGGACAGTTTTTTGATGACCACAGTGCTGGTTGCTAGAGTAATGCAGTTTGATGTCAAATGTTCATCCTTCCAGCTACAAACAATGTCTCCCTCTTTCTTTTAATGATAAATAGGCAACTAGTAAGTAAAAGAAAATTTTTCTCAGTTAAGACAAAAATACAAAATGTTATAACTAGTATCATGTGAGCTAGAAAGAAAACTGTTGTCCAATTCAATCAACTCTTTCTGCCTGGCTGAAGAAGCTAAGCATCCAATGACTTCTGTTCTTTTGCAAGATATTGGTTCTCTTTCACCAATGAGCTCTCTTTTCTAAGTATTTCTTGTGATTAAACCATTAAGGAAGACAGTTCTGGAAGCAGCACATTCGGCATCACATAAACCAGCTGTGTGAAGCTGTGACTGCCCACAAAGTCAAGGCTGACAACCTAAAAGCAGAAGAACAGAACAGCATCAACAGCACAAGGTAAAGAAAGCTCAGTCTCTCAGAACTGGTGCGAGTGGCTCACTTCTTTAAATCTAGCTTCTCAAGAGGGTGAGATATGAAGATGGAGGTTCAAAGACAGCCCAGGAGGAAAGACTCTTCTCCCCAATTAACTTCTAAAAAGCTAGAATTGGAGCTGTGACTCAAATAGTAGACACTACCCTTGGGCAAAAAAAATCTCAGGAACAAGCACTCAGGCCCTGAGGTTCAAGCCCAAGTACTGTCAGAGACAGACAGACAGAAAGAAAAAGAACAAAAGAAAGTAAGAAAGAGAAAGAAAGAACGGAAGAAAAGAAAGAAAGAAAGAAGAAAAGGACAGAAGGAAGGAAGGAAAGAAAGAAAAAGAGAAAGAGAAAGAAAGGAAGGGTTACAAAGGGAGAGAGGAGGGGGAAAGAGAGAGAGGGAGATCGAGAGGAAGAGAAAAAGAGAAGGGGGGAGGGAGGGAAGGAGAGAAAACATCTTTGGGGATACATTTCATTTCGTCAAGGAGTGAGCTCCATGTACTGTATTTTATGGATGGCTTTCAAACTATTGAATATAGTCAACACTAAGAAGTCAATGGACTCTGGAAAGTATGTAATTCTGCTCTCACTAGATGGAGGCAGTAAAATCATCCACATTGGCTATACAATGCCCAAACCACTCCCCAGGCCAAATAGCAAAGCCCTGCTAGGCAAAACTGCTAGTAAGTACTTCTGCTCTCTAAGGTTGACCAATATAACTTACCTTAAAAAAGCCAAGCTAAATTTAACAAGAAAGATGCATTGAGAAATATTACATTCTACAATACTAGGAGGCTAGGCCTCTAGACCCATGTTTATCACCACTTCTGATCACAACGAAAGACCTTACCATGACATTTATTGGAGTGAGAACCACAAAGCTTCTGTCTTCAACTAGTTCACTTTTGCATTTATGAAAGATAGCACCTAGACTTTGGCAAAATGTAGCTTGTAAATTCCCACCCAAATCAAATATCTGATAAAATAGGCAGCATTTACACTTAAAAACATTCTAACACATAAGTACCAGACACATGGTACTGGCAAGTTTCTGAAGCCTGGTACCTTCTTTCCAGGCTGCCCTGAATGTGCACATGCTGCCAGCAGTGAAGAGGGCCTCAGAAGGCCTCTGCTCTGAGACCAGGCTCATCTACCCAGGTGCATGCAGACGTACCTCCTACCAGCTGAGGTGATTTCAATTCCCCCTGCCTAAGCTATTTCCTCATGAATAATGGGAAAAACTGGATTACTTCATTTAGTCACTGTGAGGGTTAAATGAGATGACAGCTTAAAAGCTGAGCAAAATATATAAACACAGTAAGCAAATGTTAGCTGTTTTATTAAAATGTAAAAAAAAAACTATGGAAAATGGTTATTCTTTACCAATATACTAAAGCAATAGAAAACAACTAAGCCTATTATTAGTATAACTTAAAAGATTAACAATGTCATAAAACACAGAAAGGAGTCAACCAAGCAAAAACTTACTTTATGGCTGCATAGTAAAATGTTCCAAACCAAATACCAGAAGTTACTAGATGAACAGGAATCAAAACTTTCCCATATTGTCTAAATGTTTTCTTAAATCGCTGATAAAGGCTAATAGATTTGTCTTGTAAAGGATCAGTCTCTTCCTTTTTTTCAGAAGGAGCTCCTTGGGATGTGGCACTAGATGATAAAACCCTCTTTGATGAAGCATCCTGCCCCCATCCTTTGTGGTGAAGGATCCGTGGCCGGGGAGGCTGAGCATCCAATGGCTTCTGTTCCTTTGCAAGGCACTGGGCAGTAGGTAGGTGCAGCCGCTGCTTTTGAGAGCAATGTACCCAAAAAACTTTGGATTCAGCACTATACAAAAGCAATGGTCCCTTTATATTCTGGTAGTGTCCAAAGAGACCAGCTTTCTGTGGTTCCCAATATGTTCTGTGGGTCAGCCGAGACATAGTCCGTGGTATGTTCCATTGCATTTTGAAAGATGGTGATGGATTTCAGCTTCTACAGAGACTGCGTTTAAAAAAAATTGGTAGATTATATAGAGATTTCCATTTTACACCAATCCACTTAAAAATTATCATTGAGGGAAGGGGTGATATTGTCCAAAAAGAAATGTACTGACATGTAACTGTAACCACTCTGTACATCACCTTTTTTTTGGGGGGGGGGGGGTTCCAGTCGTGGGGCCTGAACTCGGGGCCTGGGTGCTGTCCCTCAGCTTTTCAGTTCAAGGCAAGCGCTCTACCACTGAGCCACCTTCCCAGCTGTACAACACCTTTATAACAATAAAAATAAATAAGCTAGGCGCTGGTGGCTCACACCTGTAATCCTAACTACTCAGGAGGCTGAGATCTGAGGATCACTGTTCAAAGCCAGCCCAGGCAGGAAAGTTTGTGAAATTCTCATCACCAATAAACTACTCACAAAAGGCCAGAGGTGGAACTGTGGTTCAAGTAATAGAGAACTAGCCTTGAGCAGAAGAAACTTAGGAGCAGCTCCCAGGCCCTGAGGACCAAAAAAAGCCCCAGGACCAAAGAAACAAACAAACAAACAAAAAACTCCCCAAAACCCACAATAAAATAGTATCATTAACCATTAGGAAGTAAAAAAAAAGAAAAAAAAAGAAAAAAACCAAGATACTGCTACCCAATTTAGAGGAATTAATATTAAAGTACACAGTTTTAAGGGCACTGTGATTATAAAATTCCACTATAACTAAAAAAAGGGATATAAATTAGCCCGTTATTGTACAAAGAAGCAGTGCATCAGAAATCTTGGTCAAGATGCCTTGGGGGTGTTCTATGCAATTTCCTTTCAGACTTCAAACCCAAGTCCAATAGTAAAATGAGGATTATTTCACAGGATTGGTACAGAATCACATCAAACTTCTGATATCAAAGTGCTCTATAAACTAGTGACCATAACCCAAGTCAGTTTATTTATCATAGCTGTGAAGGATGAGCATACATCAGTACCATCTATTGTCTATAGCCTGAAGACTACATTATATCAAGCTATAAATCACATATGTAACTGAAGAGCAACAAGAGTTAGCCTGGTATTTTATCTTGACTTTTTCCATAAATCAAGACAGGAGAAGGAAACCATGTTCAATGATGTCTGAGCATCAGTGTAGAATTAAGAAAGACAAGATATTTGGGAGCCAGAGGCAGAAAAATTGCAAGTTGGAAACCAGTCTGGATTATATAGAGGGACCCTGTCCCAAAAATCAAAGCAAACAAACAAAAAATACCCCAAGAATAATAAGATAGAGACTTTTCCAATATAAAAACTTTTTCACAAAGGCAATAAAATGTAACTTCAAAAGAACATGAAGTATCACTAATACATGTTAATAAAAGGAAAACTCAAAACCTATGAACTTTAAAGACAGACTGAAATAAGACATTATTTTGAGCAAGTTATTTAGCTTCTTTGACTCTCATTTTTCAGTGGTAAATGGAACAAAGGAGCATTATTAGTATTATTATACATTAAGTTATTCCCTGTCCCCTACTTCCACCCCAATCTGTACAACTATCTTACCTAACATGTTGAAAATAATTCTATTATTATTATTATATTTTTTGTCAGTTATGGGACTTGAACTTATGGCCTAGGCACTGTCCCGATGTTTTTCCGCTCAAGGTTAGCACTCTACCACTTTGAGCAACAGCTCCACTTTAAGTTTTTTGGTGGTTAATTGTGGATAAGAGTCTCACAGACTTTCCTGCTCTGGCTGGCTTTAAACCATATCCTCAGATCTCAGCCTTCTAAGCAGTTAGGATTATAGGTGTGAGTCACCTGTGCTTGGCAGATTCTTATCTTTATTTTTAAATCTTATTTTATTGTAAGGATGCTGTACAGAGGGGTTACAGTTATATAAGCAAGGCAATAAGTACATTTCTTGTCCAGCACTGTTACCCCCTTCCTTGTTCTCCCACTATCCCTTCCCTCCCCCACCTCTCTCATTCCTCACCCCCACCATACTGAAGTTGTAAAGTTCATTTCCAATATACTGTCTTGTGTGTATCATTGTTGCAATGGGTCATCCTGTGTCCTTGTTTTAGCGTTTTGTTATTTCCCTTCCCCTCCCCAAATTAGACAAATGTATATACAAGACACAGGGTACCAAAATCAAGCACAGTGACAACAGGGGATATACCATAGGAGGAAGAACATACAAAGGAAACAAACAAACAAAAATCACATACTACATTTAAAACAACAACAAAGACCTCTTGTGTCCATATCTTGGGGTTCATTTACTTGAGCTTGGTTTCCTTCTTATTTTTATATGTTTCTTTATACTGGGATTTGAACTAGGGGTTTCATGTTTGCTAGGCAGGTGCTCTACTGCTTGAGCCATGCTTCCAACCTTTTCTACTCAGCTTGGTTGGAATTATTACCTAATTGAAATAGGATGTTATTTTTTTGGTTTCAAATTATAGTTCTCTGATAATCTTCCTCTTCAAGATTAGGATTATAGGTATGAGCTACCAGCATGCACCTCCCTCCCTCCTTCCCTTTCTTTCCAGTCCTGGACATTGAACTCAGGGCCTGGGCACTGTCCTTGAGCTCTACCTCTTGAGCCACAGTGCCATTCTGGCCTTTTCTGTTTATGCAGCATTGAGGAATTGAACCCAGGGCTTCATGCATGCTAAGTAAGCACTCTACTGCTAAGCCACATTCTCAGCCCAAAATTCAACTTTGTTGTTGTTGGTCATGGGGCTTGAACTCTGGGCCTGGGAGCTATCCCTCAGCTCTTCAGCTAAGGCTAATGCTCTACCACTTGAGCCCCAACACCACTTTATTTCTTTAATTGTATATTAAAAAGAGTTGTCATCTGGTTCTAGTGGCTCACGCCTATAATCCTAGCTACTCATTCAAAGCCAGCCTTGACAGGAAAGACAGTGAGACTCTTATCTCCAACTAACTATCAAAAAGCCAGAAGTAGACCTGTGGCTTAAGTGCTAGAGCGCTAGTCCAACAAAAAAGCTGAGGAACAGCATCTGGGCCCTGAAGTCAAGCCTCCGCTTGAGGGGGGGTGGTGGTGGGCAGGTGGGGAGAAGGATCATGTAAAAAGATGGCTGCCATGGGTTGGAAGGCTGGAAAGCATTATGAGTAGGTGGTACTTAGGCATTAGTATATCTATGCTATATATTAAAGATAGATACCTGTTATATGTCTGAGTGTTTATTAAACTTAAAACTTCTCTTAAACATTAAGAGTATATTTTGTCAAATATACTGACATTAGTAAAACCTTAGACTGTGGCACAGGACAAAAAAGTAAACAGAATTCATTAGGCTGAAGTAGAACAAAAGGTCCAAGAATTCTTTCTCCCAGGTATACAAGCTCTCTCAACATCATGAAATAGGCAACCAAAATTTTCTTCTTTCATGAGATTAAGACTATCCCAATATCTATTCAAGTTCTTTCATCACATTGTGACTTCCATTTTAAGATAAATTTCTGTTTGCTGATGAGAGAAAGCAAAGGTGTGCCATTTGTTAATAGCAATTTCTGGACCCCTAGCCACCTTGTTCCTCAATGACTGTGATAGCTTCAATTTAACTTTTATCAACACAATCCATTTCCTTAAGCCTATTTTGTTTCTGCTTTTGAGGCTAATACCAGCAGTGGATCAGATAAATAAGCCCTGTCAAGTATCAAGTCACTGTTAAAAACCCTTATTCCTAAAAAAAATTAAAGGTCAGATCATGCCCCCTAGTGAAATTCTATGAAATTTCAGTAAATTCAGTAATTTTCAGAACCATGCTAAAAGTGGACCATTTCTTAAAAAATAGATCACCAACCTAGGCAGGAAAGCCTGTAAGACTCTTATCTCTGATTAACTACCAAAAAAAGCTGAAAATAGAGCTGTAGCCTTGAGCAAAAAAGCTCAGGGACAGCACCTAGGCCTGGAGCTCAAGCCCAGGACTGGCATAAAAAATGAAAATAAAAAAATACATCAATGATGTCTTCCAAAATGACTAATATATTCCTTTACACAGAATATTTACTATTTAAATCTCTTTTCATAGGATCAAAATTCCTACAACAGTCTGTGATGATAACCTAAGGCCAGAATCTACTCAGCAGCACCACTGCCACTTGCTTCCTTTCACTTGACAAAAAAACAGGATTTACCCTCAGATTTAACAGGTACTTAACAGACCCTTTCTGAACTTTTTTCTTCATCCCTAAAATAAGGTTATGATACTTTCTTAATATGGTATTTACATTAATCAAAGAAAAAAAAGCATATTAAGCAGCTAGCGCCTTAGTTTATCATCTTAGTTTCCCTTCTTCACCTTCCTATTTACTAACTTAGTCAAAACAGGCCCCAATTCTTTAGCTAGTTTTTGCCATCAATATACCTGACACAAAAGATGCGAGATGGGGAATATAGGCACGTGGTAGTACTTTGCCTAGCATATACAAAAAATATGTACAGCAAAAAAAAAATCCAAACAACAACAACAAAAAAAGCCCCATGAGCCCCTCCCTATATGCCTTCTTTGGAGTCCAAATGGCCCAAGATGAAACACTTACAGAAAAGTTAGTTATCTGTAAATCTTCCTATTCCTCCAGTTCCCAAATACTGTATGCAATCTCTTTGAATTAGTATTGTAGAGAGGCAACTCAAAGAAATGGTAAGGTGATAATGACAAAAAAACAAAAAAAAGGACACAGATCCAAGAAATACGAGCCAGGGTGCTAAAACTGAGGTTAGAAAAATGAAAATTAAATAAATGCTACCGGCTGAGATTAAGACAAAAAAAATTCTTACAAGCTACATTTTGAAGACAGGAATGCTGTAACACAGAGACCCAGGCTGAGGGCACAGAGAATGGAGTAAAGCCACAACCAGGTTCCTTGGCCAGACTCCACATGGAAATCTGTAGTGGGCTTCATCACTAAGGACACAGCAATCAAGAAATGGGAAGTTGTATAGAAATCATAGGCTTGGGGCCCGGTTAGGAGAATTGCCTAGAAGCTGTGTC